TTCACCATGGCACACATCAAGAAAGAAAAAAAAATATATAATTTTTTTTTAAAAAAAATCTTCCTTGCTTTAATTATCATACCTGAAGATAAAAATAACCTTAAAATTGCCAAGCTGTGAGGGAACAGTATTCTGATATAGCTGTTCAACACAAGCATTGTATTATTAAACAGGACTTCAAAATACTCAAAATCATGTGAGTATGTGTTTAGAAACTTTTTTACTTTAAAAAATTTAATCTACAACAATTTTAGCATAAGATGCCAAAAAAATGTAAAAATACTCAGGCATATAAAAATGGACATTATCACTTTCATTAAAATATAATTTTATCTCTATTCTAGATCTTTTGTAAATGATATAACTGACATATGTCCTACTTAATGTAAGGAGGCCAATAAAAATTTCAGATGAATCTCAGAGCACTTGGCCAGCATCGTGATATCTGTTTACGCCAATGACTTTGCTTTTTCTCATAAATCATCTTTTCTCTAAAACTCTCCAAGTCTAAAAAGTTATATTTATGATAATGACTGAAATAATATGAGCCCAATTGGAACATGATAGATTTGATAGATCATTTTATGGATACCACTTACTTACTAAAATATCTCAACTATTTTAGACAAAACAGGTTGTTGAATGTGTTTTGCTTTTCACTCGCAGGGTGACATTTATGAAGAAAGAAAAATCTGCAAGATATCTGAAAAAGCAAGTCATATGCCAGAATACAGTGGAAAGAGTGGTAGATAAATCAGTTAATATCACCCCACCATGTTAAGGACCAAATACTCCAAAAACTAGAAAGAAATGTAGAGGAAAATTCTTCTGCGAATCTACCTAGCCCATCTCGTACTCCTAACTCCTTAAAAATAATAATAATAATAATAATCGGCCATGTTGTAGAAGTTCCAGGAGGAGTTTATAGGTGAGACAATGTGGAAGAGAGAGAATATAATCCAAAGACTGCCAGCAATGAGGAAAGCCCATATTTCTAAGCTATTCTAACAACATCACTGTAAGAATGATAATGAACAAGTTTTTCCTTGTACCATTCTCCCCTTTCTTACACAGGGGAGTTCTAGATAGGCTCAAATTTCTCCCAACTTTTTCCAAGAAACTCTGTAGGCATCTTACCTATGATTATCCCACTACCTTCTTATCTATTTGCCTGTATTTGTTTGACTTGCTTCTGTGGTAATTGTATGCCTGCAGGTGTTTGCAAAAGATGAGCCCTCTGACCTAATACCTACACAGAATCCATGAATATTAAGAAATAGCACTATGTCCTTAGCTATGACAGTTTAGCAAGGGCTTATTTTCAACATGTAAGCCACAGACATTGATTGTTTCTTCCAGAGTAGAGGTGCCAGATTTTCTAGATTTCATTCCCAGTCCCTGGACCCCTACCCACCCACATTGCTCTTTAAATCCCAGGTAACAGTCCAAATAAACTAATCCAAGAGATGACTCATGTGAGAGACATCATGTGGCTGGCATATTCACTCCTTGTCTCTTAGCGCTGGCCATTGTCCTTTCTTTGGCCCACACTCATGCAATGCAATTAACTCTTGAGGTTTTAGCATGAATAGCATTTCCCTAAGGAAGTATTCTCGCCCCCTCTTAAACTAGATGAGGACCTCCTACAATGTTCTTCTACAGTATTCCACAGTGTTTTGACATGGTTATTTCACTTGCTCATTATGGATCTTTTCTGAGGTGCAGAAGTCATGACTTTCTGTGCCTGGCTCAAAACCTAATTTATGCAGCATGATTGATGCTCAGATTATCAGAAAAACTTGATTCCTCACATAACTAGATCCTTGTTATAAACATCTCTCCAAATGCCTAAATCCAAGTATACATCTCATAAATTCAAGACTTTTTGAGTTTTTTGCAATTAGACAGGAAATCCATATCTCAAAAAGATGGCCTTTCAGAAAGGCCCGATTCCAACTGGGAAAGGCAGTCAACAAATCTAAATGGCATAACATCAATAAAGCTGAAATTTACGTTTGATTTATTTGCTTGGGGTAAAGGGAGGAATTTCAAATAAATATGGAGAACCTAGGCAGACAATAAATGAGAGGAGAAAAGGTAAACCCAGAATGAGTGACTCCATCAATTCCCCAGGTGTTGTCAAGAGCCCAGCATGGCACTAGCCACTGAGGTAGAAATGGTAACTCATACCCTTCAGGAGGCCACAGTTTCTATCCTATAGACACATGGCCCTATTTTTAAGAAAAAATACAGCTGTATTTACTGTATTTACCTCTGCTGCTGCCAGGGCCCCTGCTGGGGGAAGAAGAGGATGTTTCTTTTTATCAAAGCAATAGAAATACTGGATCTCCCATCCATTTATCTGCAAGCTATAGCTTTTCCTACTAACTCCATCAATGAATGGGCTAATCTGTGTGCTACGTGAAATCAAGTCATCTGGTACAGCTTTTTAAAATGTCTTGTCCTCATTTCTTTTCTATGGAAAAAGTCATGTCCATGTATATTCACATTAGAATAATATTCAGGGCCCTATGCTTTCCTTATCTTCTAGTCATAGCTATCAGCCAAATGAGACTTATTGTTGAGTCCCTACTTTATGTCAAGCCTATTCTGGGCACCACAGAATAGAGAAAGGAATTGGTGATTCCTGTGTTCCAGAAACTTAATGCAGTGGAAAAAGCAAGACACAATTATTTTTTATAAAGAAAATTTTATCCCTTTTCCTATTACTCATTTCTGCAAAACTAATAAAAAAAATCCATTCTTTTTCCTCCAAGGAGCTGAACAGGCAGTTACATCGAAGACACTGCATTGCTTTAATATGCTCTTTTACTTTCTTGGTGACAATTTTCATTTCATTGGGAATTTTAGCATCAGGTTTTTATCTCATACCAACCTGAGCAAACTGACTGTTTTTATTCGTCATCTGAGTCTCCTTCAATTCTCTCACCTCCATTGATCGCTGATTTTACAAGCTTAAAAGTCAATCATTTCAGCAAGGTGCCAGTATTGAATCATTTCCAGTTCTCATCTTCTGAGAGCCACTGGGTCTTCACAAATGTATATTAATGGTGATTTCAATTGAAAGGGAAGAACTGGTTTTTATTGCTCTCAATCTAAAATCTTCTGCTCACATTAGGCCTTAGTCAATTGAATAAACAAAGCTTGTTCGTATTTATTATTCTGCTAAAATTAGCAGATGTTCAGTCATGGGTGTTACCAGAGTCTTAGGGAATTGCACTTTTCACTTTAAAGCAGGATGGCTTTGTGACGGATGGTTCCCTGGGCTCTTTTGACTCGGCTTTCTGCTGTTTCTTTCTCCAGCCCATTTCATGCTGATGTTCATCGTGCAAAATGTCTGACATTTGAGACTGAGACAAAGTACTTAAAGAGAAAGGAAGCTAGGCAAACAAAGAAGCCATTCTAGCAGATCAACGTGTTCCTTGAGATGTCCTGAGTTAGTTACTGATCCACATGTCAGACATTGTACCTATACTGTCTTATTAGGTCCCCATAATAGCTACGTGAGGTAGACACATTTTACACATGAGGAACTAAGGCTGGAGGAATGAAATATTCTTTTTTAAACATATGATTCCCAAGGAGCAGAACCTGGGTCCAATCCCACATGGGTCTGGAAGGGTTGCCTGTCCTCCCTGTCCTACAAACTGCTGCATACCTCACTGAGTCCTTGCCAAAGAGTACTGTCATCACCTCTTTACTTCACTTT